GAATTGGGAACAATATTTAGTAAACAAGCCTCCTGTTTGCTAGAAAAACGAGCATAAACTGAAGTGTGATGTTCATATTCTTCTGCATTTTCTGCTTTTAAAGCAATTGAAGCTTTTGAGTAATGCAACCAAAAACAGGAACAGATGCTCCTTATTTGGCCTTTTCTTACAGTTTTAGTTTCGTACCAAACTTGCTCTGATTTAAAATAAGCCAGGAATCCTAATCTCTTATATTCTTGAAGAACTAACTGATTAAAATGATCATGATCAATGGCCATAGGGTATAAAAGCTGAGAAAAGTATTTCAAATCTAGCCCCATCATTCATGAAAATAAAATACTAAAAGAAGGTATAATGGTTAAGTATATGGGTAGGAAATTGTTTATAGGTAGAAAATGAAAGGCTAAATGGAAGCACAGGGGTAGTAAATTAGAGAGCCAATGGGAAGAGATTCAATGTTTCAAAACAACCTGCCAGTAAAAAATTAGAGTCTAAAAAAACATTTTAACTATGTTAGGTGTGGAGACAAGACTGTTTTAACTTTTTAGTTGATGTGCCTGGTTTATGACTGAATGGTTTTAAGGTCAGATCGGATAACGGATTAAAAAAAGAGAAATAAATGCTTATTTGTAGAACGTCCTGGGAAAAAAATAGAGGTGTAAAATAAGGAACTGAGAATATGCAGGGGAAGAATGCAAGAAAAAAAGAAAACAGTCTGCAGGGATATAGCTTTAATTTTTATGTAAATCTCTAAAAAAGTTTAACTTAAATGGCAAAAGTATTTGTTTTGAAGAGATAAAAAAATTATTAAATAATCAATAAAACAAATTTTTCATATTACTTCTGAAAGTTCAGTGAACTTTGTGTCTAAAACCAACAAAACCTCAACCTCGATGGTACAAACCATGCAAGAAGCAGCAGACTTTGTTTCCTGCTCTCCAAGTAGAGCATGTTTAGGGGAAGGTGCAAATTCTTTAACAGCAGAAATAAAATAAATAAAATAACTTCAGGCTTTGATTCACCAGCTAAACTTGTTATACAAATTGTTGCATAAAAGCCAGAAGTGTTAAATAAGATCAAGCAGTTGTTGCAACTTTAATTTAAATATACTAAGAGAGCCCACTGAAGAGCAACATCTCTTTTTCTAAATCTACACGAACAATGAAAGTACAGCAGCTACACAAAGTATTTTTAGACCTCTAAAAACGAAGCAGGTTAACCAACCAGGAAGGCAGTAATCTGTCACACAACGGCCCATTTATAAAATTAGAATAGTAATAACGCACGCAAAAGATGTTTTACAGAGTTTTGCAACCTGCATGCCACTTGAACCAAATGCAGTCAATAAGTAGTAATATTAGGTAAACAGACCCACGGTGTGTAAGACAGGCTTTAAACCAACCTAAACCATTTTTGTTCATTAGGTATTTATAAAGCCTTTTGATCTAAATGTAGAAAAATTACATTTACACATAATTATGCTCTCACACAGCCCTTCAGCGGAGATTTCCTGACCATGTTACACATCTCACTAAGTGGGCTTAAAATGAAGCCGCAGAACTGGCAGCCATGCTCCAGATAATAGTATCTAAATATGTTTTTAATTACGTTATGCAACAAGCTGTTATAAAGGCCTAAATGAAGGCTAAACGGTTGTAAAGAAGAGCCTAGACCAAAGTTCACTTCCTGTGTCCTCTCAGCTTCCCGCTTTTTTTTACTGGGTCCAGCACTGCTGCGTGTTTGGGATCACAGGGGAAAAAAGCCTGCTCGTTTAACTGCTACAAAAACACATAGTCAGGTGAAAATGGTTGTCAGTGGAGTCTGAATTAAAGCAGTAGTTGTGGAGAATTAAGCTCCTCCTTATGTACACCTGAGCTCAGCAGATGGAAATCACTCCAATTCCTCAGCTATTACCGCTTTAAAATAAAGGTGGAAATTACTTTAGCTCTTACAAAAAACTGGAGGCTGTTTTTGTAGATCTACATGGGAGACGCTGATACAGAGAGGCAGAAGGAGTCAACATGTGGCGAGCTAGCTGGCTGGGTGGAGAGTAGAGAGATGGCACTGCACGCCTGGAACGGAGCATGTTACATGGGAGTGTCTGTCTGCTGGAATGCATTCTGCCTTAGGGCAGATTCCTGAGCACATTCAGGCTCTTCTGGCAAGTTGATTTCTATCAATCCCAGCTTTGTGACAAACCAACATCACTTCTCTGAAGATGTCTAATCTGTCTTATGATATGGAGCCTCTTGTGGATATGGAGAGCTTTTGAGGTACAGTAAACAATAGGAAACTACAATTCATGTCCATTCTGAAGAAGAGTAATGCACCCAGTCCAGGGATGATGTTACTTCAGATAAAGTGCTGTGGGAGCCCTTTCCCCACCTTTCTCGTCCATCAAGCCTGACAGATAAGCAGATCTCAACAGCCATTGATTTATCTACGGTTTTAAGTCACTAGCCATTGCACATATTATCTACTTTATCTATTAAAATGTTCAATGGATAAATAAATAAATAAAACTATTTATTCTCTGAAAATATGGAAATACTAAAAATTATGTTGATTTTTCATGAGGCAGGCCATAAAAAACCAACCCCTCCCTTCCTGGAAAAAAGTTATCCCCCTCCTTTGCTATTTTATTATGTGAGATTTCTATCTTGCATAATAAACTTGCCTAGGAACGACCAACATATTTGAGGGTTGCACTGACGACTCATAGCAATTATAAAAAAAACCTACCGGTAGTTGCAGCACCAATTGTTTATTATTTCATTATAAAAGATAGACTGGGAAAAAAGTTCCCCAATGGATTAAACCCCGCCTTACGTTCCCATTAAAAACTTAGTCTTTCCATAAAGAAACTTACACCAACAATCCAACATGGTGGTGGTAGTATGATGATCTTTCTTCAGAACCTGGACAACTTGTCATAAATCATGGAATTAATACTGCGCTCAATCAGAGAAATCCTGGAGATCAAAGTCGACTGGTTTGTGAAAAAGCGTGTTTGTCGCAGTTAACGCAAAAATGCCCCCCACCTCCTCAAAATTGTAAGTGACCGCAGACAGACCACAGATGGTGTCATATGGAGGAGAGAAAGGAGACCTCTGATTGGTCTATTCTACATCCGCTCTACTTTATGCGTATTCCCTGTTTGGTACCTAACGGCAGAAACTCTGGCTGTAATGACGTCCACAACGGCTGGCACACCTCAGACACTGGGCAGGACAGTTTGTAGCTCTGTGCGACGCTCTGTTGGTTGGCACCGGAAGCCAAATCACACAGCGCCACGGCCAGAGTTTGGGACACACACACAGGCGAACTGTGCGTCATCCGGCATTGGATGACGGGTTGTAGAGGCGAAACAAGCTCCTCAAACCGTCACGCAGACACCCACAATCCTAGCTAGTTCATGATTACCCCTCCTGCGTTGTGGCGTGAAATAACACGCTCCAAAATTGGGCATAAATTAAAAATATCTGCACCATACCTGCGACACACTGCTGCAGGAGCATACACAGCCCATTACTGTCATGTATTATAAATACCTGACTGCAGCTGCTGGGTGGCAAAACAAATTATCAGTTTCAGGCAGAAATTACCTTTTACTTACTACCAATCTAATCAGGATTGGAAATTATAAACGGGAAGAAAGGTTTTTATAGATTTTCACCTTTTGAAAACTTATTTTTGGTATTTATTCAGGTTATCTGTTAAAGATAAGCTCTGTGTAGGCACCCTGATGCTCCATCTTTCCGGTTATTTTGATATTTTCATTCTATATATTTAAATAACCAGGAGACATGGCAACAGATTCTGATAGAAATTGTAATCTTACTCAGATCAGAGAAGTCGCTTAGAGTTTACAGAAGGCAGCTGCTCCCCTCTGGCCTCACCTCTCAGGAAGTTAGTTTTCACTAATAAAAATCTGTTTCATTATATGTCCCAAATCTTGAAATATGATCCTCCTTAAAATTGTTTACATGATTAAGTTTATTGTGTGTTAAGCTATGGGTTACATGCATAAATAAATGTATTGCAGCTACATAACATAAGTACATAAAAGAAGAAAAGTTTAGGTTCTTCTCATCAATTCCTGCTACAGAGCCCCACCCAGGCGAGTACAGCCAGCACTGTTCTTCACAGATTTTAATCTCTTGTGGAGATAAATAGTTACACTGCTCTTTAAGAAACTAAATATTGTAATTTGTGTGTGAAACCTTGTTCCTCTGTTACTGGAGAAGAAACAGGAACAAGATTTGAACCAGTAACATTTACTTAAAACGAGGAACCACTGCTGCCAATCTCCAAAGTGTGACGCTGGATAAAACTGATGAGATTACCTCCTGATCTGAGATCAGCTGAGCGTTTTGGTGAATCTAAACGGGCTTTCTCACCTAATAATCCCTGATCTGAGATTAGCCGGTGAAATCGAGACAATCCGCGCTACCTGGGAGGAGTTCTGGACACGGAAACCGACATGTTGGCTCGATATTTAATTAGTTTCCTTCACAAACTAGATGGAAATACCAGCAGCTAGGGAGGGAGATATTTAAGGAGCTAAAAACTGACCAAACAATGGATTAACACGCATTGATTGAAAGCGGTTGGTTTTTATATCGTTTCGGGCCCAAACCAGACTCGGTTGTCTGGGGCACGTCGGCCTCGCTTAGGGGCAAACGAGACGTTAATCCAAGTTATTACAACAAACCAGGATGAAATTACCATAATATAAAACTGAATGGACAGTATTTCCCTTTTCGACCACGCTGTGGTCCCACCGCATTCCCAGACGTTAGCTGTTAGCTAGCCGTTAGCTTGCTAGCGTCGACATACCTGTTCCTCCTCACTTCACTTCATTCACCAAAATACGTGAACGCTTTCGCTTCCAGTGAGGCAGGAACAAGCTCACTTTTGGTCCAAAACAACAAAAGCCTTTTTAGGTTGTTTTTTTCAAAAGTTAAAAAGAACATAAAAACGACATTTTGAGCTCTTACCTTGTCCAGACAATTGACTTTTTCCGTGGGGTAAACGACTTGATTACATCTGCCACACAACGGATTCATGTTGGAGGAAACGCTCTTCTAGCTAGTTAGCAGACAACCCGGCGATGAAACGGGCCAAAAGTGGCGGCGTGCTGTCGATTGTTCGCTTTAAAACACCAGCTACTGTAGACAGGTAGAACCAGCGGCAAACAAAAACCAGAATCTAGTCGTGTGTAGCTCAGGAGGTTGTTGTTGAAGCCGCACAGCTGGCTGTCAGTCAGTCCACTAACCAGACACGGAAAGCGCGCCCCCGAGGCCCTCCTCCCCTTCCTCAAAATGCGCGTGTCCGCACAACAAGGAGGGGGGTTAAGTTTGGGTTATTTATTTTTGCCTAAATTAAAATTTTATAAATATTATCCAATTTTGGTATATTATCTTAATCGAATCAATAAAACAGATATTTGAAAGCATTAATGGATATCTCATCCACCTTAATGCACCTCCAGTTTTTTCTCCATCTGTTCTCGCATAGAAACTAATGCAGCCACCTGGTAGATATTGGAGGTTTCACAAATTCTGTGCTTTTAAATCATATTTTACACAGCTGCCACGTTACCTGTATGTCCTGCTTCACATCCAGGTGAAACTGTTGCCTAGGGCGACACCTGCTGGCCAAGATTGTTAGGTTGACATTTTATGATTCATCCATTTTCTATACCAGGGGTTTGCAACCTGGGGCTCCCGGGCAGCAAGTGGCTCTTTGGGACCTCTACATAGTGGCAGAGGTGTCAAGTAACGTTACTGTACTTAAGTACACTTTGTAGGTATCTATACTTTACTCCATTACTTATTTTTCTTCCTACTTCTGACTTCTACTCATTACACGTTCACACAAGTATCTGTACTTTCTATGCCTTACATTTTTTAAAAATTGTTACTCTTGGCTGCGGTTTAATGTTTATAAATATTCATATCAGATCATGTGCACCATCCACATCTAGTGAAAACTAGAGTAATTGCATATAACGCACACCATGAACGGTTCTAGACAGGGGCCAACAGGGGCCAGTGTCTCTGTAGAACATGCCCTGGCCCCTGTTATTGCCCCTGTACTGAAGACATAATACTCAAAGAAATTCTAAAGATGATATGCGCTTGAACAGACATGGTTACTGATAGGTGCTTTGGATCTTTTTAAATTTTTTCCTTTACAAATTCTGTTTTTTTTTTTCTATTTACTTAAAAGCAATAAGGTGATAGCTTCAGTGCTATTGAGATAGGATCCCAGTTTTCATCTGCTACATGTTTTTTTTTTCAAAATAAATTGCTCTAATTTTTACAGCTGAATTTATGAGTTTTTCTTGAGTTCTAATTCTGATTTTATAGAAATTATTATAAAAATAATTTTAAATTAAATATGTCAAAAATATGTAAAATTCCTAAATTATGAATGTATATTGACCTAATAAGGCATAGAATTTTAATTCAACCTAATTGAATAGAAATTTCACTTCATGCAGCTGTATTAATATATTTGAATCCCTTGCCCTGTTTTTTTATTTCATGCTTTTCGGTGCCCACATGAAAATTCGTGGGCACCCTCCTGGCCCACTGGTACAATTGGTCTAAAACCGCCACTGACGCAAACACTCATTGGTTAGCTATTCATCAAATTTGTGCTGATGCCAAATGAAATAATCAGAAGCAAGCAGGTGTTCTTCAAACTGCAAACACGAATTGCCATGCTAGAATGTCGGATTTAGAAAAAGCTGTTCAAATGTCTGAAAGGTCGGACACAGGCGAGAGCGTATCGGGAGATGGAGACGGAGACCAACAAGACNGAAAACTAGAGTAATTGCATATAACGCACACCATGAACGGTTCTAGACAGGGGCCAACAGGGGCCAGTGTCTCTGTAGAACATGCCCTGGCCCCTATTATTGCCCCTGTACTGAAGACATTCATCAAATTTGTGCTGATGCCAAATTAAATAATCAGAAGCAAGCAGGTGCTCTTCAAACTGCAAACGCGAATTACCATGCTAGAATGTCGGATTTAGAAAAAGCTGTTCAAATGTCTGAAAGGTCGGACACAGGCGTGAGCGTATCGGGAGATGGAGACGGAGACCACCTCCCTCATCATTGGCCCTATCTCAAAGAATTATTCAAAATAATCGAAAAACCGAGCTTTCAATTCATATAGTGGCATCTGGCTGTTTTTTTTAAAGGTTACTTTATACTTTAAGTAGTTTTTGGAGCACATACTTTTTCACTTTTACTTGAGTAAAGAGGTCGAGTTGATACTTGAGTGCTTTTAAACTGCAGTATCTATACTGCTACTTAAGTAACAAATGTGTGTGCTTTTGACACCACTGAATAGTGGCCAAGTAATGTAGTATAAATCAATTACCAGTCTTAGAAGCTTTAGAGGACTTTTAGAAAATATTTGATTGCATCTTCACAACAGAGAGACATTAAGAAGATCTACAATATGGTTCAAGGTCTACTTGTAATCAGCTTGGATTGATTTTTACATCCAATAACATCCCATAGAAAATAAATCTATGCTTCATCTTTCTGAAACGTTTTATGATCTTACTCTCTTTAAAGCTTAAATGCAAATAAATAGAAGGTTGTTTCAAACAGTAACATATTTCCCATAATGGATATTTAACAAAAATAATTAGTTGTCTTTAATTAAAAGGTGATATAATAATTGAGAGTCTAAACAACTTTTACTCAGCTCGGACTTAGACAAAATGGCTCTAAGCAGTCATAATAACACGGACAGTCAACACATAAAATTAAATGATGACAATTCAGACCTCTGGGTTGAGAAATAGAGGCGTAGAGATTTGCAACACTTTGGGCTGTTTTAAGCATCTTAATTGCCGTTCAACTTTCTGTTTTTACCCATTTTGAAAAGTTCTAAAAGACGAGGCCTCATATATGCAATAAGTCACCGTTTCATAATTTAAAGTTTATAGAAAATAAAAAAAGCTAATTAAATATAAAAAGGTCTTGCTAAATAACAGAACAGGATAATGTTAAAAAGAAAAAACACAGCTAAACGTATAGTAGTGATCTACTTTTGAAAAAAAAAAAAAAAACAAATACTCAGAAGTTTATTTGTAAAACCCAGAATTAACCCTGCATCATTTTCCTTCTGCTTCACAACTAAGGGCCACTTTGCGTCATCGATGACAAAATATCAAAACAGAATAGTTTGTAATTGTAGATAGATGTGGTGACGTCTCACAAGGCACTCTGCGCTGTATTGAGGGATTATTTTTCATGCTCCAAAATGATCATTCAATCAAAACAAGCAAGTAAAACTCCCCTTTGACCATTTCTTTATTAGATGTACAAAGATGTGCACACTTAAATTTGTAGAACTTCTCGTATAGATACACACATCTTTTGAAAAGAGCTTTTTATTGAACCTGATTTGCAGCAGATGCCGGCTACTTCTCACAAAATATCAAAACTAAACGCAGCTACACTGTTAGAAAATGTTCAAAAAAATTCTTATTCTTTAAAAAATGTTTCAGAGTACAACTTTGATTTACAAGGTGATCGATTTTTTGTATAATTGCACATATTCAGGTTTCAGCACGGCCCAGCTTCAACGATGCTGTATTTTTCATGACCTTCTCCCTCCACCTCTGTGTATCCTGGTTGAAGCTTTTGGAACTTCATGGAGGGCCAGTAGCTTTTGCGTCTCTGCAGAACATTTATTTATAGATCATGTTACAAAAAGAACATGCAACAATTTATTGATATGATATACTTGGTGTGGGCAGCGTACCTGGATGAGGTAAAGAGACGAGGAGCCGATGGGAAAGCAATGGATGCAAACAGCAACAAGAATTAAAGCTAAGAGTAGGACCAGAGCAGCTGCTATACCAGCTATGATGCCAGTGTGAGACAATCCTTTACTCTTGGTTGAAGACTCGGTTTTTACATCTGCATACAACAGTAAGACACATGTTTTTAAATCTGAAACTGTAGTTTGTATATTTTAAGTTTTATTTGTCACTCACCGCTGCCCAACTTGTAAATCTGATCATCTGGAAAAAATTAAGTGTACCTCTTAAGATTAAAACATTCATAATAAACAAGATATATTACTGGGTGGAAAAAATCACCTGTTTTACACCCTCTTTGTTTTGGGGTTGAAGGTGTAATGTCATCTGTATCTGGTGCAGCAGAGGAAACAGTGAAACTGTCATCCCTGAAGTAGTCATCACATGTTGCGCCTTGGCTCTGTTTACACGCAGCACAATGAACTCTGTTTTACTTAAAAACACGGTCAAATCAAAACAAATATCTGCGATGGAGTCCTACCTCCTCCGAACAGGAGTAATCCAACCATTCTTGCCTGTGTCGATCCATGCCATCTGAGCATCTGAAAAGCAATGTTTGTGAAGAACAGTGGGTGATATTATATTTTCTGTAGCAGGTCTGAAGAAGGAGCTGCTCACCTCTGGAGAACATTACACCAACTGCAACCAGAAGTTTGGTTGGAGGAGAGGCAGAGCTCACAGCTGTCATGTAGGAGGCAGGCTGGAAAGGGAGGGCAAACACATGGAGGAGGCATTTCATGGTTTTAAAGCTGATATTACAGAGATTTCACTCACTGGGAAGAGGTGTGAGCTCCACAGCAGACCTGTTGGTAATCTTTGTCATGTCGATCTCAACGCGATGGTACTCGTAGATTGTTTGTTGAGCTCCATCTAAAGGAGAGAAATAGTAACGTTTTCGTATCTAAAAAAACTTTAAAAACATTTTAAATCCTCTAAATCCAAAGAAAAAAATGGAGGAAAACTTAATTTTCTTTGACTTAGATACAGTTTAGTGTAGGAAAAAATAAATCAGTATCAAGAAATGCAATTAAGAGCAATAACATTATGATCAATATTTGAGTAATAAATCGATATGTCTTCATCACAACTAATGTCATGTCTTCATGTAATGGCTCCTGTTAGGCCACTGCACTGAAAACACACAGTGCAAAAACTAAAATAAGTGAGTACATATTTCTTGAAATAATTGTATTTTGCCTTGATTTTCACAGGTAGGTAAGACAATTTGCAGATGAAATAAAATAATTTAAGTTTAAAAATCTCATTTCAAAGTGCAAAATATCTAATTATCTTATCTTAATATCAAAAATATGAACTCCTGTGGCAGAGCATATTTGCCTGTTCAACTTAAGGGCAAATACACAAGTCTTAGCTATTATTTTTACATTTTTAGGACAGTTTTTTTTTGTTTAATACTAAATCAATCTATTATGACAATATGTGCTGACAGAAGAGGTAGTAACAATTCATAATGTAGACTAATATAATATTTCGCCTTTGAAATTTTCTCTAACAAGTGATCTGAAATTACAGTCAGCTTTAAGCTTCAGGCATTTAAGATAGGATAAGTTTCACAAGATAAGCTAATATAAGATAAGATGAAATGAGATGAGATGACATAAGATATGATAGACTCTATTGATCTCACAGTAGAGAAATTCACTTGTCACATCTGCTCAATAGTCAAAAAAAGGTGCCGAACGGAGGAAAAGGTGCATGGGGTATATACCGTGTAGCATGGGGTACATACAGTGAATTTATCTGCTGGATCAGGAGTCTGTAACCCTGGCTGCTTAATTAATGTATTAAACAACACAGTCTTGCCCTGTTTTTAATTTTTTTCTGTGAGTTTGCTATTCTTTTGTTGTGTGCCCATAAAAAATAAAAGAAAATACTGGCCCCACCATTCTCTCCCTGGTAAATAAATCTAGAATCACCACTGGTTGGATCATAAAGAGGCAAAAGGCTTCCACCATTCCCCTTCAACAATCCCTTCAGGGTTTCTCTTTTGTGTGCTCCTCTTTTAAGCTCCCCACAAAGTCCTTTGTCTAGGACCTCAGATAACTATGAATGAAGGCTGATTTTGTGTCTGGTAAATAGTTTCTGAGATGTTTCATTGTTTTTTTTTGAATACTGCTTGTTGCGTAAAGCTCAGTCTTATACTGCATAATATTACACCCCCTATTTATATTTGAATATAAAGATACAGAGACAGAGTTCTGAAGATTTGCATACACCTTACTTAAATTACATAAATGCTCTTGGAGTTCTGTTGCCCTAATTCACAGAAATGAAAAGGCTTCGGTTTAAATAAATGTTCCAAAACAAATCTTGCCTAATATTTCAATTAGAGCTCAAGTAAAAAAATAAAACATTATTAGTTGTTTCTTTTTACACATCTTAACCAGGAATGTGGAATGTGCTGCACGTTTATTAAAGAACCTTCCCTGACCTGGTGATTGAGAGGTGGGTGACACGACCATAAATGCATCTGACAATCCGGCCTTAACTGGATGTTCCACTGATCCGATCACATCTAGCGATAGAGGGATCTAATGAAAGGACAACAGAACACAAAGGCAGCATATAAAGGTACGGTAGAAATGATGGGATCAGGTATCTAACAGCAGGGATCACAGCTGAGCCTCACGTCTCGGTAGCTGAAGGAGATTCTTCCTGTCTTATAAAGAGCAGCCTGAAACGTAAAGGCTCCATTCGCCTCTTTGCCTGGAAGTCTGACCCGCTCCCACTGGACCACAAACACTTCTCCTAAAAAAAAAGACAAAATATTAAAATATATATTAAAGATTTGAGTAATATGAAGTTAATAACATATGAGGTGATGTTATACCGTTATCCAGGTACTGAACGGTGGAGTCTTTAGAGTAGCTGGGGTCAAAGTTAGCCATCAGAGGGGCGATGTACTGCGTGGTGGTCAACATACGGTGAACAACATCACCAGTGTAGATGAATCCTAAAAAAATAGCCAGATGGAAAAATATGTTAATCTTAAGTATAACGTGTTCAGCCTGCTGTGAACATATGGAGGAAAGGTTACTTAAGCATCTGTTAGGTTACTGAAGCTGTACCTCCTGTAGCGATGATAATCTGCCTCAGGTAATGTCCGTAAAAAGGAAAGTCGAAAGACAGAGCGACTCTCTGCAAACAGAGACACAAACGGACATGAGAAGGAAAAAAAATATATAGACGTAGACATCTTATTGAAAAAAATCTGACATATCCATCTGACAAAGAAAAAAAACATTCCTAATTCCATGTAAGTCTTAGGTTTTAAAGGGTTGTGATCAGGGTTGTTCATACAAGAAAATATTTCTTAACAAAGAAAACTGAAAACAACCAATCCAATAAATTTAGGAAACATGATGCCCCCTTTTTAAAAGAGAGATGTGTCTACGCTTACAGATACTTTTTTAATTAGTGTAACTCAGACGTGTAAACTTATAAAATTTACAAATAAAAACATAATGAACTACTTCTGTGTTTGCAATCTAGATATTAATTCATGTCTAAATATAACTTTTTTCTGAATCATTTTTTGCAGATAAATGCAGCTGACAAAAAAAATAAAAGTAAGTCTGTTAAGTCTCCAGATTTGATGTAAACACCAGAAGACAACGGCCTCATTATTGAAATCAGTAATGATAGGTACTTCATGCATAAACGTGGGGGTATAGCTCAGTGGTAGAGCATTTGACTGCAGATCAAGAGGTCCCCAGTTCAAATCTGGGTGCCCCCTACTTTAACCATTTGGTTTAGTACATTCTGAACAAAAACATTTTTAGGGAACAGAAGTACTGAATTGCCAATTGTTTAGGTCTCTGCCTTGAAGAGACATTTAAAGTGGACATATTTTTTTTTTCCAAATAAGGTTGTCAAGCCCAGCAGCTCTAAAACCGGGGGGTCATTGCCCTATGGGGGCCTCCACAGAGCACCAAGCAGGCTTCAGAAAAACAAAACTAATAGTAACTAGTAATGCATGTTCTTGGACCTCAGATGGAAAAACACACAAACACCAACAAGATAAGATATGCAAGCACTGTTATCACATGATGCAGTATATTGGTTCAGGTAAGATCTATAAAAATGTATATGCGAGGGGGTATAGCTCAGTGGTAGAGCATTTGACTGCAGATCAAGAGGTCCCCAGTTCAAATCTGGGTGCCCCCTGCTTTGTTCGTTTCATTTGGTAAATAAAAAAAAGTAACTTCATGTGCCCCTAGGTTCTTTGCAGCCCTCCTGCTTATAAAACAATACATCAAAGGGACTCAAAATTGAACTAATATGTTCTTCCTCTGGCTCACTATATAAGTAAGGTGTATATACAACCTGGGCTCATTAGGGATTCACCTCGACATTCCTGTGCTTTTGTCTTCAGTATCATACTTATGGACTTTTTTGAGTCCGATGCTGAAGCTGTCAATTTCACAGCTTCCACTGTCTGGTTTAGGGAGGAACTGCCTATTCTGTCCAATAATCAAGAATCTTAAAACAATACTGCATCTGGATTATCATGTGAATCATCACCAAACTATAATGCATGGTTCATTGGACTCAATTTCACCTCTGGTAAAAATTCTATTAAAATGTGTTCATAACTTTTCAAGTTAATCCCTTTGCAGACGGAAAAACACACAAACACCAAGAATCAAACATATGCAAGCAGGGTTATGACATATGTGGGGGTATAGCTCAGCGGTAGAGCATTTGACTGCAGATCAAGAGGTCCCCAGTTCAAATCTGGGTGCCCCCTACTTTGATCATTTGGCTTAGTACATTCTGAACAACAGCATTTTTAGGAACAAGAGTGTTGGATTTCCCATTGTTTAGGTCTTTGCCTGGCATTTATTGGTTAAAACTGGACCAAACGGAAAAACAATTTAGTCCCTTAATAAGTTTATAAATAAGGCACAGTCTGTGTCTGCAGCCTCTGGTGTTTGTTCTGCTCTCCCCGTCTTCATTCACTATGCTTTCTTGTTTGATCAGCTGATCGAGACTTAATTCAGGCATGGCTTGTCTTTCCTGTGTTTTGTCTTCACTATAATACTTATGGACTTTTTTGAGTACAATGTTGAAGCTGTCAATTTCATTGCTTAACCTCTCTGATTTAGAGGGGGGGGCTGCTTGTTCTGCCAAGTAGGGAATCTTAAAAAAGTACTGCATCTGGATTATAATAATAAGATAAAACATTTTTTCTTTATTGATCTCACATTGGAGAAATTTTGCTCTGCATTTAACCAATCCCCTCAGGGAGGGGAGCAGTGGGCTGCCATGATGCAGGAAGCAACCTGGGATTAAGGTTATTACACAGAGAGCCAGAGTGGGAATCAGGCTCATACTCAGAAACTCAGGATTCCAAGGTCTTTCCCCTAACCACTTGGCCGCCACTCA